GGAATGGATGAGAGATAAGTTGGAACTGAATTTATACAAAGCTAAACTGGGAGGAGAAGTGCAGAACGTGACCTATGACCAGCAGTCCCAGATGGCCCTTGTTACATTTGGCCAGCCAATAGGTGATCCCTGAAGCATTGTGCAAGTTAACTTTACAAAATCTGATCCCCTTTTATTTGCATTACTTTTACTTTGACATTGTTCAGTTGACTGCAGATTTGAGCATCATTTGATTGTTGCAAAACTGATCTAAGATGAATTGACACCAAGTACTCTCTCCTGTCTCCCCCCACTGGTAGACTTATAACACAGTCTATTGCAGAATTACTTAGAAGTAGCCCTATTTAGTTCAGCTGATATTCCCTACCACATTCATATAGGATTGCAGCCTTAAGAATAAAAAGGATATATAGCAATGTTACCTGAAATGCATTCAGTTCTAAACCATATTCTTCTGCACTGGTGAGTGTTTTTTATTCATCCTAGAAAAGAAAAAGCAGATGTGCATTCCATTTTACATCTTTCTTATTCACTAGTGCAGTTGCACACATTTTTAACCTCTGCCCTTGCAGTAACCATTTTAAAAAACGATGCTTCATTTTTATATCAATGTAAACAAGGGGGGTGTTTATACCCCAGATGTGGTAGAAATGAATAATAAAAATATATATGTTCACTCAGAAGTAAGTCTTGGTGTGTTTATAGAATGCTGTTTGAATTGTTGTGTCCTTCTTGGACACATTTTCTAGCAGGGTGGCCAAATAATACAAGGAGATATGTGCTCCTGCATCTTTAATAATGGTGTAGAAGCAGGAATGTCAGCAGTTATTGCTTGTCCCTGAATATCTTCATGATATTCGTTATTCTACACAACTGTTAGTGTAGCATGACACTCTGGCTACTCTTGTTTCTTCTGATTTCAGGCTGCAGTCATATTCACACTGAACCTAAGTTGAAGTCCCATTGAATTTAGGGGCCTACTTTTGAGTAGACATGACAAAGAGTTCACTAATGGTGCCTCGTAATGGGACATTTAATCATTATGTTTACCTTACAGTCTTAGTATGCTCAATCCCAGGTAAATATACATAGGGCTACAATATTAGTCATCAATACTGGTTCTGTACAAATAAACAATTGCCCAATTAAAGTACATATTAAAATATTAATTTGCAAGTTTGGGATTTTATTCTTTATGAAAACAATAGGGTTTTCTCCCCCTCCCCCTGTCCCTGAAATTCAGTACTTGGGATAAACTGTATTTCTTCATTACATTTCTACTGTTTTTCTCTCCTAGCTGCTAACAACATTGTGAGATATGGAAAATGCCCTTTCCGTACAGGTGAAAGGACTCATTTTGTCCTGGTTTCTCCTATCATAGAGAAGACTCTGAATAGATTTCAGGTAAATGGACCATACCCGTGGGGCTTATTGCAGTTAGTAAATGAACGGAGACTTGCAAGCATTGCAAGTATTGTGCCACAATCCCAGTCTTTACTGGCAAGTAAGTCCTACTCAGTTCAGTGGCACTTACTTCCAGGTAACTGTGATTTGTAATTTTAATCATAATAGTTAAAACCTACTTGTCTCACTTTCCAGAGAATGCTTTTCTTCACAGAACTTATCACAAAGAGGCTGTGGTGTCAAGTAATGGGGAGTGAGAATTAAGAGCTTAGAAGCGTTCTGAGAAACAAGCATAGGTTTGAGACCCTCGGATTTTAGCAACATTGCCACGCCATGTTTGAGATCCTCAACATCATGTGTGCGAATATAAGGAAGTGCATATGACACACCATCCAGAACCTAAAAGGCACTTTCATGATTCTTGGGCTGGCACATTTTTTCCCCTCTTCTGCTTTAGTGATTTCACCGAGGCCCCACTATTGATTTTTCCTAACAGAATTAGGTTGCCATTTTTAACAAGCAGCCAAAAGGTGTAAGTACATTTTATTCTGGCTACTTAGCAACCCTACAGGACAACAATTGGTTTACCTTTAAAATTAGACACACAGGCATTACATGCAGCACTCAAAAAAGACAAAAGAATTTATTATTATTATTATTTGCATCAATGGGTACTTTCCTCCCAGTCCAAATAGCTTCAGAAGAATAATTTTTGTCTGGACCAAGGCAGGTGGAGGGCGGCAGGTTAAACCTAGTAAATAAACACTCCCACAGAGGCACTACTTACATTTTAAAACTAATGAAAGTATGCTTAGAGCAAAGAGCATCTAAAGAGCATCTTGGCTCTTAAGGACTAAAGCCTAAAGGTTTTGCTTGCATAACTAGGAGTAAGCCCCACTGAATTAAATGGGACTTACTTCTGAGCAGACATGGTTAGGATTGTAGCCAAAAGTACAGGTTTATAGTTTGTTTTAAAACATCAAAAAAGGGAAGGACCACATGACCTGCTAATACCAGTATTTTCGCTCCACCAATTTATATATTCCTTAAAGAGATTTGTAGTCACAAGACGTTGTGTGTTTTTCTTTTGACAGATATATTCAGGGATTTCCAGGAGAACCATACTGCTAACAGGAATCAAGGCAGAAGAGGAGGAGGATGATGATGAAAGTGTGCAAGATATGATTGCGATCCACTTTCAGAAACCTAGAAATGGTGGCGGTGAAGTGGAAAATGTCAAGTTCGTTTCACAAGGAGCCAAAGTCGCTTACTTTGAGAATGATGCAGAGAGTGTTATATGACAGAGAATGAACTCGACTTTCCATTCTGCCAAGGGCTTCATAGAACAATAAACATGCTCTGTATTTTATTTTAGTTTATTACACAGGATGGTGTGCCTGCTCTTTTTCTAAATCAAAAGCCATTTTTCACAGATAGGAAGGGTCTCCTCTGATCCAGCAAAAAAGTAATGACAACCAGTGCAATCCTATCTATGCATGTTTACTTAGAAGTAACTCTCACTGTTTTAAATGGGGTTTACTCTGAAATAAGTGTGCATTGGTTTGCTGCCTATGTTCATCAGACTGTACAGAAGGCATCACTAGGCAAGCACTGATTGATCTTAGCGCCACAGAGATGATGGCTGATATAAGATGACCACGAGTCCTTTACAATCTCAGGAAATTTATTATATACTAAGTCTTTAGAGTAGAAGGTTCATTGCAGATAGCTAATATTGGATCCTAGATTGCTGTTATGGTTGATACGATATAAGTGCTCATAATAAATTGGTGTGTTTCGAATATATGTCTAGTGCTTTCTTTCTTCCTAAAATCTAATTAAATGAACCTGGGACTGCATTAATTTATTATTTGTGTGTGTGTGTGTGTGTATTCGTGTGTGTGTATTCGTGTGTGTGTATTCGTGTGTGTATTCACATATGATATATGTGATATGATAAGGTGTGTGTGTCAAATACATTACCTGCAATAGGATACATGTAGAAAGCAGAATCCAATTAAATTACAAATCGTCGTCAGAATAACTTTCATTAGCAAAGGATAATCCAAACAGCCAAAGTCTTGAGTAAAGCCCAACTGAGGTATAAAATCATAAAGGAATAAGTCAACATGGCCGCCACTGCCTTCCAATGTTTTTAGCCAATGTTTTTGATTGATGCGCGAGTTCCTTGGGCCCCAGACTATAGGAACTCCTGCGGTCCTAAAGAACTGTTTCTCTCTCCCCTTTAGTGCACTTTTTCTGCTTGCTTCATTTTTCTAGTCCTTGAAATCCCTTCCTTTCATCTTAACAACCAATACACATCTTTCCTCTGGTGGTTTTTGCCTGAGAGAAGGTATTTCCTACAAGTTATGTTCTGCAAATGCTACTATACAATAAAGGTTCTCATCCACACTTTTGCTTGAGCCGTGTTTTGATCGCATTTGTGTGCCGAATAATTCCCCATGGTCTGAGAGCATTTCTTGTCTTTCCGAGGCCATTCCTTGCTGCTGATGTCTATTTTGTTAACATTTAAAATCTCCAAGGAGTTCGAGGTGATGTCAATAGTTTCCCCCCTGCCCATTTTACCTTTTCAACAACCCTGTGAGGTAGGTTAGGCTGAGTTTGTGCGTGAGGGAAACTGGCTTGATAGACTCAGTCCTGGGACTTCTTGTGGAGAACGGAGTTTTGGATCCATGGGGTCCACAACACACCCACCCACCCTGTCTCTCCTGGAATAAGGAGATTCTTGTGGGCGTAATTGGGTCTTCTACGATGAGGAGAGCCTTCTGTCCAGACCCTTCTGTCAAATCTAGTCCTGCCCCAACCAGTAGATCTACAGATTAGAACTGCGCTCTCAAAACATTGCTCCAATTCATCTCTTGATACTTCATGTTTAATACCTCATGCTTAACATTCCCACAGTTGTTGTTATTCCTATTCCAGTTTTGCATTAAAAAAAAGATTCCAGAGGAACAAACCTTTGAAGCTTTTATTAAATTACGGTACATCTGAAGTGGAGCACAGAGAGAATTATTGGGATATGTTAAATTGATGCCCACCTCCCACCTCGTATTAAAAGATGTGGAACAGAAATGGCTCATGCAGCGAAGTATTTTAACAACTTTTCTGTGCATGCAGTAATGGAAAAAGCGTGACTGCTTGGATTTCTTCCTGACAGACTAGACGAGACTGCAAAAGTACCCTAGAATTGCAGAGTTGGAAGGGATCAACACAGGATCTTCTATCCAACCCCCTGCAATGCAGGAATATGCAGCTGTACCACACGGGGACAGAAATCTGCCTCCTTGCGTGTTAGCAGCAGCATGAACTAACCAGCTCTTGGAAAATTAAATGAGAATTAAATGAAGTTTATTCATTTATTCACATTTATAAATCAAAAGAAGACGCCGGTAAGCAACGAATGCTTCCCTCGTCTCTTATTTTCCTTTCAACGAAAGCACGAGACCCTTCTGTTCCCTCATTTAATACAAAAAAGCGAGCAAGGGCTTTTCGACGCCGCTCTGCCCCGCCTAGACAAAGTTGCGCAATGCCTCTCTCGCCTAACTGGAACGAACTACACTTCCCAGCATGCACTCTGCCAGCCCGCCTCCCAAGTTTTCAGGGAAACACTCGACAGAAACGAAAGCAAATGTTTCAGCGTCGCATCTTCCAGGAGGAACGCTTCGCGAGGCGAGATCTGCGCGACTATGGCAAGTGACCGAGCGTTGCCTTTTTATATCTGCCTTGCTGACGGGGACTCGTGGAGCAAATACTGGGTCTTCTGAAGCTCCCTAGAGATGATGGCTCTTTGGAAAGACGCCGAACCAGGAGCGTTTCCCCGGGGTGGAGTAGTCGCGTCTCTAGCGCCCTCCGATATTTCCCTTCCCCTGTTGTTACACCAAATTGCCAAGCAGGTTCTGTGCCCGTGTATTCCCAATTTTCGGTGTTTATACTACATTTTTTAAGATTTGCCTTGAGAGAGTCTTTAAACCTCTTTTGTTGACCACCAGCATTACGCTGTCCATTTTAAGTTCGGAATAGAGTAGTTGCTTTGGAAGACGATCATCAGGCATCCGCACAACATGACCAATCCAACGAAGTGGATGTTGAAGAATCGTTGCTTCGACACTGGTGATCTTTGCTTCTTCCAGTACACTGGCATTAGTTCGCCAGTGGGAGATCTCCAGTGGCGGAGTATGTTTCATCATAGCAAATGCTTGTGGTTTTTTTAAATCACACCTTAGACGCAGTTCAGTAGAATGATAATCTGCATCTGCATAAACTAATTTTAAACCTAGATTGTTGAGAAACTTAAGTTAAATTTTCCAGGAGCTCCATGTTTTTATGACGTGCACTCAGGAAACTTTGTTTAATGGGCCTCTTTTGGTTTCATGCATTGCCTCTGGTAATTTGATAGGCTCCTTTAGTTACCTTAGCAACTGTTTGTGATCAGTATCGCTTGGTTTTTCGCTAGCACGATGAATCAAAAGATCATTGCATATATTTCTGTCCTTGGCTTATACAAAAAAGTTTTAAAACACATATCCATCCCAGTACCAGGTTGGCTTGGAAAGCACTGCAATAAAACTATGGACATAAGATGAGGGCCCTTTGAGCAGGAGCACGCAGAAGCTAGATAAGGATCTGCAGGGCTTTTCAGTAGATTGGTTTCTGACTCCCAATTGTTTAACAATAGCAACAAAAGAAGTTGTTTTTTTCACCAGTGGGCACTCTCAGACACATACCAGCAAATTCAAGCACTGTTAGAGTTGGAAAAACTGGACTGTTTGCAATAAGATGGGGAAATAGGTGATGTGTGGTAACCGTTGCTTGAGACATGCAGGTATAGAGCGGTATACAAATTTTATTAATAATATTAATCATAATGTGATGCAACATCTTACCTCTCTGCAAACAAGTCAGCTGACATCGTCTAACCTCCTTGCAAATTTTAGTCATCCTGATCAGGTTGAATAGTTAAATAAGCACATCCGGAAGTGACCTAAATTAAGAGAGTTGAAATGAAGCATAGGCAACCTGGCCGCCTTACCTCCCCCTTTCTGTCTCTGATGGATGGCAATAAATGATGCAGTAAACAATTTTTCTTCATCACTGATGAACTTTAGACTAATGGCGACGGTGACAAGTTAATGATCACATTTGAATCTCACACTTTCTCCAACTAACTCAAGAGTGGTGGTGTAGCCCCACAGCCACACTGTGTAGTAGGTGGTTAGGTTGAGAGATGGTGCATTGTCCAAAGTAATTCAGTGAGTTTAATTGCTGAGTGGAGATTTGAACCTGGGTTTCCAGCAGCCAGTCCCAGCAAGCTAACCACTGCATCCCAGTCGCTACTAGCATCCCTTTGTCGTTCCATGGCTTTCAGTGGAAAAAGATTCTCACAGTGGCTTGCGTATGTAAGAGCAATAACCAACAAGGCAGTTTGTTTTCTGGGTTGCCCCTGGTTGCCTTCCCCTGCTCTGCATGCTTTTCCTGTACATATATACTTCCTATTCTCAGGCCCCTCACTGACCCACTGGGCAGTCATTTTAAAAAAGCAAATATATATGTAGTTGTGTTTCTGCATTCTTGCATACTTAGGTAACGTTGCTGCAGTGTGCTTCCTCACCTCCCCCCCCGAAAAGGTGTGCAGGTATACTCCATTTCTGATAACCAAGAAGTATCTGGATTGTGAGAGAGAAATAAATTTCTATTGTTAGGGATGGGGGGGGGGAATCTGGGCGAGGAATCTTGGAATGATAACGAAGATGAAGGACATTGCGGAATGTCGAGACTTCCGTTGCATGCAGTGTTAGATATGAAAGCTAGGAACTAAATGGCACCTTAAACCTAGGTTATGGGTGCAACAACAGAATGTCTAGGTGCACAAGAATACAAAGCTGAAAATGAATGAACTGCAGCTAAAATATTATGTTCATTTTTCACAAGGTCTAGTCCTTTCCCTGCCCACTCCTCTAATTTTCTTAAGGTCTCTTCTCTGGTCTTCAGAGAGTAGCTGGAAGTGGGGAGGCAGAAAAAAGTCCTCCTTTCCTTCCACTCTGCAGTTTTAATCTGAAATCTTAGGCTCAGTACTGCGCCCAGAGCTCAGAAACCGCTTGCGCTAATGAAATTCCCTGTTGCAAAACGCGTCTAGAACAATGGGAGTTTCGGAACACTGGTTGCATGGGAGTTAATTCCTGGTCATTGAGGTACTTTTCCACTAAAGGTGAGTCGGATGCAAGTGGGGAAAGGATGTAGGATGATGTGTGGACTGAACAAGCTACTTGTGGTACTTATGGGTACAGATCACATGAAGCACAGCTAATGCAGACGTAAACTTAGAGAGAGCAGAAACCAGCAATCAATCTTAAAAGTTTCCAGCATATTGGATCAAACTCTGCAGAGAGTGGATCATTTGCATTCTCCAGCTGTGTAAGTAACCCAAAGGACAAACTGCATGGCAATGCTAATACTAATTTTACTGCATGACTGTCGGCTACAGATAACTGCTACTGCTTATGCCTCTTTATAAGATTAGAGTTGCCACATGGAAAGTTTGGAGGGCGCAGTATATGGTAAGCAGGGCATTTCATTCCACCTAGAATATCTCATTGAAGAGCTATTGCACTTCATTTACATTGCCTCAAGAAAGCTCCCAAAACTTTCCTTCTGTGTTTCTCATCACTCTTTAACTTGTTTTGCATTCTTTCTTCAGCTCATGGATTCATCAATTTTAGGAGGGTATCCAGTGGTGGGTTTTTTGTTTGTTTTTTAAATATACCTTTTTAAAGGATAAGCATAGTAATAGGAGGAGAGGTGTTGACATGTAGAACCAGTCTGGCTGTAGATTTGATTTTTGATTTTGATTTTGCCTCAAATGTGCCCTGGCTTATTTTTTTTGGCTTTTCATATATTCCTACGCTTGTGTAGGTTTTGATGGTTAGTGGCAGTAAATCTTGTCAGAGTTTGCACTGGAATGTATGTGCACTCCGTTGTAGAGTTTTGCTTATTGGAGAGAGAGTGGATAAGTTGGGTATGTCAAGCCTGGACTTTTCCCTATCTCTCTGGCTTCTCTGACTTTAAGGATTGCCAGATCTGAGTATGGCTGACCCAAGTCCTCTGGTATGATCCGAAGGGGTTCCGTCCTTCCATCCGTTTGTCTGTCCGCCTTTCCTTCCTTCTTTCCTTTTACCTTTCATGATTCCCAAGGTAAGGGATGGGGCCAGAGATGCAGAGAACGTGTCATTGAGACATCTGGGACCCCGCATGGAGGTGGAGGTTCAAGGATGTGTTGGGAGGGAGGGAGTTTGCTGGTCTTGGCAATTACAGTCATACCTCATGTTACGTCCACTTCATGTTACGTTCTTTCAGGTAACGTCCCGCGGCAACCCAGAAGTACCGGAAAGGGTTACTTCCGGGTTTTGCCCCTTGCGCATGCGCAGAAGCACAAAATGACATCATGCGCATGTGCAGAAGCGGTGAATCACAACCTGCGCGTGTGCAGACGCACCGCTGCGGGTTGCGCTCTTTTCATGTTGTGAACGGGCCTCCGGAACGGATCCCGTTCGCAACCAGAGGTACCACTGTAGACTTTTTGTGCTCACCTTGTGCACCCGAGCACATGAGCTACAAGGAGAGGTGAGAAAGGAATCTTTCTGCCACCTCCCCCCACCCCCCCCAGCATGAAGACTTTCAATAGAAAGCAAGTAAAAGGCTGGAAGACCCCTGGAGTCCTGCATGCCAGGCATCAAGATATTGCAGGAGAAACAAACCTATGTGTGGAATAGGCTAGCTTTATTTGAAAACCCAGGGTATATATGGGTAGGGGTAGTACCTCTGGTGGGGGCAGTTGGTCCGACCACCTTTGGTCCCCACCCTGCACTCAGCTCTCACCTGTGGCCCCAGGTAGGTCACTTTGAAGCTGCTAACACAGTGGTTTGACCTCACCCCTGGAAGCGTACTCCATTGTCTCTTTAGACAGATGGATGAGAGCCAGTGTGGTGTAGTGGTTAAGAGCGGTAGTCTCATAATCTGGGGAACCGGGTTCGCGTCTCCGCTCCTCCACATGCAGCTGCTGGGTGACCTTGGGCCAGTCACACTTCTTTGAAGTCTCTCAGCCCCACTCACCTCACAGAGTGTTTGTTGTGGGGGAGGAAGGGAAAGGAGATTGTTAGCCACTTTGAGACTCCTGAAGGGGAGTGAAAGGCGGGATATCAAATCCAAACTCTTCTTCTTCAACATCAACAATTTATTACAGCCGTTTCTAGCATTCACCTTGGCCTCCCTCCCCACACCCTGGTTTTCTGACTGGCATAAATATATTTCTCAGAGAGGGAAAAATTAAAAGCAGCCTAGTTTTCTTCTGTCAGCTGCCAGACAACAGCAGTGGGGGAGGAGGGAAAGCTATTTTTCTAGGAGGGGGTTTTAGGGTATGGAAAGGAAATGCTCATAAAAATCTGTGATTAAAAAAATAATAATCTGCTTCCTTTCCCAGCGCTTCTAATACTGGGTAGCTTTAGCATACTCCGGAATCAAAAGTTTTGTGTCCCTTTTGTAGGAAATGCATACTTTTTTGTGCATTCTGCAGTTTCCATTCTGCAAGCACACAATAAAGAAGATTCGGTTCATTCTGCAGTCCTTTAGGAGAAAGGAATATTTAGCATGAAGTGTGTTAAAAATAGTCCTTGCGTCGTCTTGGATTAAAAGTTTGTGGATAAGGTTGCTGAGCTGTCCGTTTGAGTCTGTTTCTTCACTCCTTTTAGAAATAGGAGACAGTGATGGTAATCATAGTTCTGATTTCTTGTCATTTTATAATATATTTTTTTTAAAAAAGAGCTCTCCTACAGCAGTGCTTTCAGGCTGTAGCACAACTGCGCTGCCCTGTCTCCTTTCTGAAGCAGTAACCCAAGGAATAGACATTAAGTGCATTGTACAGAGATTTGATGCAAAGCTAGCTTAGGTTGCAAGATGTCAGCAATTATTGACAGTTCTTCCTATCATCGTCTCAGCACTGGCACACCAAATTATGTGCAAAATGATCTGCTACTCCATACATACTAAAGCCATGTCACTCCTGATGGGGAATGGTGAGATTTGCTGCTTTTAAAATAATAATAATCATCATCATCATCATCATCATCATCATCATCATCTGACTCCCCTTTGCAAACCAACCAAATATTTGGTGTCTATTTAGTGTCTGAGGTACAATTTTCTATTATATAGTAAGGCCTATAGTGTTGCCTAGGCCGTGAAACTCCACACCCAACATGAGAGATCTTCATCACCATAGTTTTATCATCATCATCATCTCTAAAGACTGTTTTATTTCATCATGGTTTTCAATTGGTTTGTTTGATGCCTTTGGGTAGAAAAGCAGCCGGTAGGTACACATTTTAGAAAAGTAACCAGGGATTAGTTCATTCAGTGTTGAAACTATGTGCTACTCTTGCAGAGTGAGACCATTCTGTTTCATGGCTACAATAATAATAACAACAACAACAACAACAACAATAATAACAATAATAATTTATTACTTATACCCCGCCCATCTGGCTGGGTTTCCCCAGCCACCTTGGGTGGCTTCCAACAGAAGATTAAAAAGATATTAAAACATCAGTCATTTTTTTAAAAAAAACTTCCCTAAACTGGGCTGCCTTCAGATGTCTTCTAAACATCTGATGGGAGGGCGTTCCACAGGGCAGGAGCCACTACTGAGAAGGCCCTCTGCCTGTTTCCCTGAAACTTCACTTCTCACAGTGAGGGAACCGCTGGACCTCAGTCCTACGGGCTGAGTTTTTTTGGAACTGATGAGCAAACATTTTTTTTCTGAATAGGAATTAGGCAGTTTTGAGGAAAATTTTATGTGCGCAGAACAGTGAGACTCTTGTGATTCGGTATTTCATGGAATGAAGTCTATAGTGGGATTCAGTCTTAATTATTTTGTTTTATTTTATGTTTCTTTCATGTCAACAATACGAGCAATACAATTTCCTCAGCAGTTTGTACTTTCTGTATTAAAAGGCCTGTAAAAATCCCCTCTTTTTAAAAAAAATAAGTAATATGGCATCACAAATTTACAAGCATCGCTATGCCACTTTACAGAGGTGGGGGCTGAATTGAATCAAATGAATAATAAGAATACACTTGCTGTTTATGCAGCATTCATCCTGATTTCTTTGGATGGAGGTTATATGCCTTCTCATCAATCAATTGTTATCCCACACTTTCTAGAACATCTGTTTGTCGCTTCCCTTATTGCATGTAGTCCTCCCTAGCTCCATTAACAAAAGCCCGGACGAGGACTCCTGATAGCACAATAAGACTCCCATCCTCATCCCACAGTCTCTCCCAAATCTGCTTGGGGGTTCAGGAGAACCTGCAGACCAGCAGGTGACGGAGCGATTGTTCAGTCAAGCAAGCTTGCACCAACAGAGCAACCTCCTTAGCCCTATGTTGAATCCCACCCTTTGTGTTCGAGTGTGTTTGTTGCACCACACCACTTCCGTCCACTTTAATTGGGCAAACTTAAATTTGGCAGTGGATGCGACTGAACCCCTCCTTAGTGACAGCCTGAAGGGGGGTGGGGCGCGGACCTGGCGCTTTCAGTGTCCCTTGTGTTTCTTCACAGGCCACCGCACAAGCTGCCAAGCCAAAAAGAACCATTGTGGTCTGCGGTGTTCCAGATGGCCTCCTAAGTGACGACGTCATGGCCGACATATTAATGATTCATTTTCAAAAGGGAAAGAATAAGGGTGGCGATGTGGAGGATGTTGCCTACCCGACATCAACAAAAGGAGTGGCATATGTAACGTTTGAAGATGAACGAGGTAATGTCAGAGGAAGGAAATTAGAATTTTGGGTCCTTAACCGTAAAGCGGAATTCTTGCTCTGTAAAACTCCTGCGTTCTTGACGTCCTGGCTCGGCGTACTCTGGGTTTGAAACCTCTCACAGTGTATAAGGTTGCCTGCCATTCGTCAGACACATAAATTTAGAGAGAGAGCATTTGCGTGGGTGTTTTAAACTACTCGCACAAGAATGGAACGTATAGTACGCTGCCTGGCAGATGAAAAAATTGCAGCTAAGCCTCGGGGGGAGTAAAATTGCTGCCAATTAATCTAAAGAGACAGGCTGCCGTCATTCTCCTCGGAACAATTTTTGCGCGGTGCAAAAAAAGTATCAGGAGACAAGTATCGAACACTGGGGGCAGGGGAAGGAATCCAGGAATCCCAGAGGAAAACTACCAATGAGAGGGACCCCCCCTTCCTCCCCCAAAATCGAGGTATTCCGGGAATTGGGTTGGCAACAAAGCATTCTAACTTTTACTTCTTTCTACAAGACAAAATCTGAATTCCTTCTCAGATGCAGAAAATGTTCTCAGGAAAGGTGACCACAGCCTAGAGGACAAGAGGCTGCCTGTGGGTTATCCCTTGAAAGTGTCGTCATATGGAAAAAGTGTAAGTTACCCCAGCTCGACTTTTCTTCTTCTTCTTAGAATCTCCAGCCTTGCAGTTGTTTATTTTATTTATTTGTGAAACTTGTTAGTCACGTCTCACTTGAAGGTCTCCAACTGACTTAACGCTAAATAAAAACATGCACATACATAATTATATGCACATACATAGAGAGAAATGGGGGCGTGGGGGAAGTTGTGAAGTGGCAGGTGTCACCAAGGAGCTCTTTTTTGTCAGGACCGTTGCTCTTTGTTAAATTTCAGCTGAGATAACAATACAGCACAGTGAATGTTCATGTCATTGTGTAAATAATGATAACAGTAGATCTCTTCTCCATAGAGCTTACAGTCTAATGTTTCACAGAGAAGGGGCAACTGAGGAGTTGAGTGATGGGAGTGATGAGTAGATTATCAATGGCTACTAACCATAATGGCTATGTTCTACCTCCCGATGTCAGGCAGTGTTTGTCCCTGAATGCCTGGGAACCACAAGTGGGTAGAGTGTTGTAGCACTTAGGTTCTTGTTTTGGGCTTCCCATGACATCTAGTTGGGCACTGTGAGAACAGTGCTTCTGGACTAGATGGGTCGTCATCCGATCCAGCAGGGCTCGTCTTAAGTGTAATAAGGCATCAGTGTAAAGAAACGCACACAGGTGCCCGTAACCTAAAAGTCTAGTGTTGCCTTTCAGTTATGATCTCTCTCTCTCTCTCTCTCTCTCTCTCTCTCTCTAGATTTTTACCTGCGTGACATGCATCCTCAATTTGTCCCCATTTGGAGAGAAATACAACTTGGAAAGTGTGGTGCAAGACTTCAAGAAGAAGTTCCCAAATTTGAGCTTTGGGCCATTACAATCTAACGGGCTAATAAGTGTACAGGGTCCATTTTTAGCCATCAGTGCCCTCCAAAAGAATATCTTATTAAACATAAAGCATTCCCTTTCAGAACAACATGTTGCAAGAAATCTGAAAGCATCAGATCACGGGCCTGGTACAAGACAGGCAAACAGTGGATTATCCTCAGAGTTGAAAAATAATTTTGTGCAAAATGAAATCAAGGAGGAGGGACTAACTGTTGCCCTTGACACCGATACATATCTCTACATGATAACATTTAGAGGCGAGTTTTACCAAAGGATTCTAAAAGAATGTGGTGTTACTAGTTATGCAGCTGAAGATGGGGAGGTCACCACCATATATCTAAAGAGTGACAAAACAAAACCAGGTTCCAGATCGTTAAGATGTGCAAAAGATAGGGTTGAAGGCTTGTTGGCAGAATTATATGGCTTTCTGCGTAAAGAAAGATTGTCACATGAAATGTCCAACAACTCTGAGAAGCGGAGACGTGAGCGTGCATGTGAGATGTTAAGGAGCCAGTATCCAAACGTTCTGGTTCTACTATACCAAACTTACATTGATATTATAGGATCCTCCTCAGACATTTATGAGTTTGCAAGACAAGTAAATAAAATCATGGGAAATGTCCCCAGAGAACCTTGGAGATAGGCAGCTGGTTATTTTGATCTCTTGAGGGCAGACCTAGATTTTCTGTTCGGCACAGGAGCTGCCACCAAAAATGGCAACCTTCTGTTGTGTTCTCTGCTTGTAACATTTTATGCACACTTGGTAGTGGTGTGTTGTTGTTGTATCGTCCGTTTCCCAACCCCTGCACCACATCAGTGGTCAACAGAAGTGGTAAAATGGCACAGGGCAAGTGGCGATAAGGAAAAGTGAAAACTTTACACAAGGCTTGTTTTTTGGTAGAAGTACTATGTTGACCATAATGGCTAGTTCTACACTGACAATAAAGTGAGCTGAAACATATTGACAGTAACAGTGAAAGGACAGCTGCTGCCTAATGGAAAAGCTGAAAGTAGAACAGTTTAGCAGTTTGTGGGTTTTTTAGTCTATAGATGTGACCTTTTCAGTGTCTCCCTCAGGATTTCAACACACTACTTAATAGAGCGGTTTTGCTTTCTGAAAGTTTTTGTTTCCTCCTAGCCTTTTTCTCTGGTCAAAACGACCCATCATTCTCAGCAAGTTCCTGCTCACTTGAGAGCTTTCTTCAATGGTCCTGTTATATAGAAGGTGATGTCATAGTTTAGTGTGGACAGCTGAAGCTGTTTTCTGTGTTTGACAATGAGACCTGGAAACAAGAGATTTCTTCATGATGTATATAGTTCAGTATCACTGGATTAAAGCTGGCTCTGTTGGTCAATTTGTTTTACGTTAGTCCTTTTTGTGCATCAACAATTAAGCAAAACTGGAGCTGTATCTCTCATACCATGAGTTTTACAGCGCAGGGGTGGTTAGCCCATGGACCCCTCTCCCTTGTTGCTGAACTTGCAGCTCCTACCATTCTGACTGTTGGCCATGTTCACAGGTAGTGATGGGAGTCTCAACAACATATGTAGCTGTCTCAGTATCTGATCATTGGTTCATGCAGGCCAGAGTTATCAATACTGGCAAGAGCTCTGCAGGGTTTTCAGGCAGCGGTCTCTTCCTAGCCTTTTAAAGGAAGGCTTTTGGTCTTGCCTCTTCCCTTTTCCTGACTGCTAATCCAGAACTGAAAGAAATGTGGAGGGACGTGCTGTTTTACTAAAGGGATTTGCTGGGAGGTCACTTCAAGGGAGATAGTTGAGGAGCTGGATATGGGTTTCCACCCAGCCGCCCTGCTTCTCGTTTAGAGTAGGTCTCCAGGGGGAAAAAAACGTTTCTGATTTGAAATTTAGGCACTCAAAATACGTGAAGATGATGAATTGCTTGTGTGAATTGGTTCCAATCAAGATTCCAATTGAAAAGGAATGTGACTGTTAGAAATGGGACATTGGAGTTTGCAGGGTATTTTAGGTCGCCAACAGAAATAATAATAAATAATATTTTTCTTTAATTTGTACCCCACCCATCTGGCTGGGTTGCCCCAGCCACTCTGAGCAGCTCCCAACAAATATAAAAGCATAATAAAACATCAAACATTAAAAACTTCCCTACACAGGGCAGTCTTCAGATGTCAAACGTTCTCCACTGGCCTGATATGCAATTAACCAGCATGATAAAATCAAAAGGCTCAGAGCATTTGCAGGGACTTAAATATGATGGGCATTCCCCCCCCCCCAGGAAGAAAATGCATCTTCTCTCAACTGCCTGCATCTGTTCCCTATAGAGGGCATTTGCAAGTTAATATTACTCATGATATGGGACGCAGGTGGCGCTGTGGGTTAAAGCCTCAGCACCTAGGACTTGCCGATCGAAAGGTCGGCGGTTCGAATCCCTGCGGCGGGGTGCGCTCCTGTCGTTCGGTCCCAGCGCCTGCCAACCTAGCAGTTCGAAAGCACCCCCGGGTGCAAGTAGATAAATAGGGACCGCTTACTAGCGGGAAGGTAAACGGTGTTTCCGTGTGCGGCTCTGGCTCGCCAGAGCAGCGATGTCACGCTGGCCACGTGACCCGGAAGTGTCTCCGGACAGCACTGGCTCCCGGCCTATAGAGTGAGATGAGCGCACAACCCTAGAGTCTGGCAAGACTGGCCCGTACGGGCAGGGGTACCTTTACCTTTACCTTTATTACTCATGATATCACTGGAAAAGGTGTACAGGGATTCCCAGACCTGTCTAGAGCTGTTAAGGGACCTGGAATAGACAAAACTGCATTTGTCCCCTGCTAAACTGTGGGAGGCAGTGGAAGACAGAAGTGCCTGGCGTGCTCTGGTCCATGGGGTCACGAAGCGTCGGACACGACTAAACGACTAAACAACAACAACAACATGACTCTGTATGACTATGAGAAACACCATGATTTTTAGTCTGCTTTGTGAAACTACCACCATGAACTAGGAAAATCTATATGAAGAATTAGTATGTATTGATACATGGCTTGTGATGCTCTTTTACACCAGGGGTGAATTTGACTCTTCATTTCTCTGCCGTTCACTAAAGAAGCATATAGCCATCTGACAAAGGAACACAGGGAAGGAAGGCTGGGACATTGCAAGTGTCATAAAAACAAAAAGCACAAGAGGGAGCCAAATACCGTCCAGCTCACAAAATTTTCCCCAGCTCTCAAAACCTGAATCTCTATAGATGTTCAGCTAAATCCTTGTACATTTGGAAGATCATTTCTCCTCTGGAACTGCCACTGTGTAAAGTGCTGAAGAGCGAAATGGTGTATATACTGTAATTAAAAGTGCCTTCCAATGGAGAAAGTACTATCCAATGAAAAAGAGCTTGTCTTTTTATGCAGGTTATATCTACGTGTTAGAAAGGTGAAAGACATCAGCGCCTTCAAAGATTGTATTTGGTTCTCCTTGTATTTGCAGAGGGGAATTGCCGTGAGCTCTGGAAAAGGTTACGCTCAGAAATTCAGGCAGTGATCCTAAACACACCTAATGAATTACGTTGAACTTGGGGCTTATTTCTGAGCAAACATACTTGGTATTGCACTGTTTGCAACAACCCCTGTGAGATACTTGTGAAACTGGATTGTAAGAGATTCCTGCACACATAATGGCATGCAAACACTATGAAGAGAGGAAAGGTCCTATAAAAAGACCTCCTTTCTCCAATGCTCTATTATGTTAGGTGCCTGTGTTTTTGATAGTTGCACTGCACAATCCTCATGTCTGTTCAGGAGCAAGTTCTATTGAACTCAGTAGGGCTTACTCCCTGGTGGTACATGCCACTCCATTCTCCGTGTTGCAAGAGATCCCAGGGGTTCTGGTTCCTTAGAATGAGGGTTGACAGAGACTGGTGTCTTGAGGACATATGGTTTTTTTTTACACATGTATACAACTGGAACATAAGATGGAAGAGCCCACACAGCATTAACGCCCGGGCAGATCTTCCTTCTCCATCAGTCACAGCTTTGGTTTCCAGCTTGCTCTCACACAACTCTCTGACTCTTGTTCTCCTACCTAGCAGTTAGCTGTGAGGGAGGGGAGGGAGGACCACCCGTTTTTATGACACCAAGCAACTTTTGTGGTTATGTTGATTATGGTTCTTAGCTAGTCAGCCAATGCCATTGCCTAGACAAAGGGACGAGTTTGGCAAGCTTGCTCTCATACACTCTACCCCTACAGATAAGAGAATTCTAATAACTGAAACGGACTCAGGACACCATCTAGAATGACCTCGCCCAACTCATAACACAAGCAAGTGGGATTAGGATTGCAGTCACAGGCAATTAGCTGTACCCAACCATGCAGGAAGTATTTTGCATTTGCTCTTCTGGTAGAGAGAAATTATTTCATTGTGTGTATTGTTTAGTTAGTTAGAAGGAGTTGTTGTTGTTGTTTCCCTGCACTAGGCAGTTTTATGAAGGGTAAGCTAAAAATATTTTAAATAAATAACAACCTGGGTGGGCTGCTGCCTGGCAATGTTAACGACAGCGAGCAGCACTTTTGGTACCAACATCTACAGTTATAGGCTGAGGTTGCTCAGAACGAGAATGAGCTCCAATCATGAACATCATGTTTACACAGTAAATGCTTAGAGAATAACCCCATATGCTTTGCACAGTTTTAATCCGTCCTCTGCGGCTGCCCATTTTTTGTTTTACTTTTTTAAAACCCGGGACTGCTCTGTGCGTGTGACAAATGGACTTTCCAAATGCAATGTCAACAGCCAAAGGCTTGCTTAGGCTGCAGTGCTATGCATGTATAACCTGTGAGCAAGTCCCACTGATATACATAGGATTGCACTGTTAATGTTGGCCAAGCAGTGGTATGGAAAATCAGAGCTACAAATTATTTCTTTGTCAGCAGGAGATATTGCAGTGGGGGTGGGGTGACTGTCAGGAAATTTCGATGTGGGAAAGCATTAAACCCTCCCACCTGTGCCATGGTTCAGATCTGGGTTGACCACCAGTGCAACTCATTTTTCTAAATAAAAAGATGCCAGTTCTAAGCATGTTAATTAGCCATGCTTTTAATGTACTGTATCACAGTCTGGTTTTCAGGTGAGCCGTTTACAAATTCTCCATCCAAGTAGGTTAGCACTATAACAAGCAGTGAGTGACTTTGACTGGCAGCCAAAGAGAATGTCCAGAGAAGGCTGGCAGACGTTCTCTCTCTGATGTTTCTGTTTTATGATCTGCCTCTGCCTTGCTTTTTAAAAAAACAACTAGCTGGGGTTGTGTTGCCGCTTTGCATGGAAAAAGGAGCCCCTGCCATCTTGTGGAGGCAAGAGTTTCACGTGGTACACCTTAAGAATGCAAAACAAGTCCTTTTTCAAGTGCTCCCCTATGATGGCAAATGTTATTTTTGTTAACAGGAGGAGGAATGACTTTGCACTGAATTAAATTAACTCTGGAAAGCAGCTGAACTGTTTGCTCTTCCTCCTCATTCAGAGGGTGTGCACTCCTACAACTGCTCTAAACTTAGATGTACTTCTCAAACAGATACCACAGGTGGTTGGCTTCTGACAAGGGAAACTTGAGCAATTGCTGGGGAAGAATGGATTGCACACTGCAGGATGTGTGAGCCGGCTTCCTACACTCTGCCTGATTTGGACAGAGGAGATGCATTCCAATCAGACTCTCTCTGGGAGGCCTGTCATTTATTACATGGGCAGCTCTGCTGGAAAAAATAGCGCAGAACCCCACAGTGCTAACGGTGATACAGTCATGAATAAAACTGCGTACTGGTACATCTAGTAAAATAATAACTGATGAACAAGGGAGCACCTGGGATTGATTTCATGACATGTGGAATCAGTAAACATTGGGGGAAAATAGCAACCCCTTTACTGCTTGCTGGACTGGTAAAATTCACACAATACCTATCATGAATGTAATGGCCAGAGCAACAAGTAACTGCATTTCATTTTCTAACTAGGATGCTTATAACAGCAAGAACCGGTCTAATAGTAAATGCATGGACCCTCCAAGTCCCAGCAGGGGATTGGTGAATATAGACTATCTGTTTACCCATTTGCATGGTGCTAGCTGCAGAATTGCCTCCTAAAAGCAAAACCTGTTCACTGTACGGACAGGATCTGTATCCTGAGGGATGATCCAGCACGGAGGTGGAGAAAGCCAGTCTGGTTGCTGCACGGAGGAACTGGTAGGCATGACCTGAAGTTTGTGTTGCAGACACCTTGTGAAAGGAGAGCAGGTCTGGCTATGGTCAGTGCCTAGATGAGAGACCATCCAAGAACCCATGAATGCTGCTTTGAGCTCTGTGATAGAAGGAAGGCAGGATATTAATGTGGCTAAATACAAGGTGTGACCAGAAAGTTCAGTGAATGGTCACAGAAATCGGATAGCGAGAAATATTTGAACATACAATCAGCATCGGAAACCCACAAAATGCTCACAATTGTGTACGGAGATGAAGCTGTAACTCGAAAGACAGTGTATGAGTGGTTTAAGCATTTCCGTTAAGGGTGGCAGACCATCAAAGATGGCCCTTGGTCTGGGAGATTGTCGGCGAGCAGAACGGCGGCAAATGTCAACAGAATTCATGAGTTATTGATGTGGGATCGGCGTTTGTCTGTCCGAATGATGGCAGAAGAATTGCATATTCCACGTGAAATCGTTACTGAGGTTACGGAGTTGTCCCACCTTCCATATTCTCCCAATCTGGCCCTACCAGATTTCTTTCTTTTTTCAAAACTGAAATCTGCACTGATTTTTCCAACATTTCACATGTCCAAGCTGCTGTGACGAGGGAACTGAATGCAGTATGAAAGGATGACTTCTCCAGATG